TAACACACGGGCGATTCCCCCCAAAGGCAGGGGGGGCCCGAAAAGAAAAACTTTCACCATCATTCACCCCATCACGTTTGCCAAAGGGGTGCTTTACACAATTTTTTTAAACGCAACTTTAACACCCCTCCTTCAGAGTGCGGGGCACTGTACTTCCATCTCCAGGACTCAACCCGGCCTGGGGTTTTCCCTTAAACCCCCTCATAAATGTTACTTTGCTCACACTCCAACAGCACGTCAAGTATTAAAAACCATTTGTCTCCATTCACTCCTATCAAACACGCTCACGCATGCCTGCTGGAAGTCCAAGCCCCACGCACACAAAACCTCCTTTACCCCCTCTCTCCAACCTTTCCTAGGGCTACCCCTACCCCGCCTTCCTTCCACTACAGATTGATACACTCTTGAAGTCATTCTGTTTCGCTCCATTCTCTCTACATGTCCGAACCACCTCAACAACCCTTCCATAGCTAACATGTTGAATTTAGCATTTTGATGTGCATTCTTAAGGATGAAAGATTACCAGCTCATTTAAATTTACTATTTCAGGGGACGAATCAGATGTGACCATAGATGGTTGCTAGTACAAGAACAAAAAAAAATTTAATGGACTAAAACAAAAGGCTCAAGTGTCACAAAAAAATTCTTCAGAAAGCTGAGAAATTCTACTTGATATTTAACTTTGTTCCAACCATCACCATTGCTCAGAATTTTCTCCATAGTGCAGCATGTGTACCTGTATGAATTAAAGTAAGTTATTCTCATTTATACTAGGAAATTTCTTAAAATTTATACTAGTTTTAGGGTGATCAAAAAGAATAAAGCAACTAAAGGTTGGCACATATGAATAAAGAAACCCATAAAAAAGAACTAATTCTTAGTGATTAAACGTATATATACGTTTTTTCAACATCTGAAAGTATGTAAAAAAAATGTAGATCTTTCTTGTTTTACATTTGAAAACGTGTAAAAAAACTTTTATCTACATTTTTTTTGTTATATTTGAAAATATGTAAAAAAAAGTAGATCTACTTGTGTATCACTACGAATTTGAACGTCGATCTTTTTGGACTGTTTAAGGGTTAAAATAAATTCATGCAGCTTTTTTTTTTATAATACCTTGAGTTCATTCCTATCTGCAGTTACATACAGGTGCTCCTCAGCTTACAATGGGGTTATGTGCTAACGAACCCATTGTAAGTTGAAAATATAAGTTGAATAGAAATTTGATATGTTAAATATATAAGTAAATAATTACTGTCACTGAATAAGTAAATGAACAAATAATTACTGTAACTAACTAAATGCCAATATTGAAAAATAAAAAAAAATGTATACAAGTTATGGACTTGCCGCCTTCTTGCGGGGAAAAAACGGGCAAGCCTTGTTTTAATGGCTTTTTCGCAAATTTGAAATTGATTTTAAATTTATACCCACTCTTTTTTATTCGGGACTTCCTACAATAAAAAAAATTCCCCACCCCACTAATGTAAAAAAACAGGAGCTACCCCAGTAAGCTGCCCAAAAATTACAAGTACAGTTAGAAATAGAAATAAAAAATACTAGATTTCATTTAAGGTTGTTATTAATAGAGTTTTTCCAAGGGGTTGCTAGTAGAATTACAGTAAACAACCATTAAATTCTTTTATAAAGGGCCCTGTTAGCCCTGCAATCAATCAAAAAAAAGGGGGCTTTCCACAGGGGATAAATTGTCATTTTTGGGGGAAAATTTGGGTTGTCATGCCCCTTGTGCGATATCCAAGAACTTGCTACAACAGTAAAAAAACAGGGATTTTTTTTTTTGGGATATGCCCAAATGAGTTAAATTGGGGGACTAAAATCACAATCGTTTTAAAAGGGAGGTTTAACATCAAATTCTTTCATAGAAAACCGGGAAAAGCTTTTACAACAAAAGGGGAACAAAAAAAGTCTGGGCTGAATGGTACTCCCCTTAAATGATGGCCATTTTGTCAGAAACTGAAAGGGGGCCGGGGGTTTTGAGTCCTGGTAGTCAGTAAATGTGGGGCTGAAAAGTGCTGCCCTGGGAGACAGAAATTGGTAAAGCGGGAGGTGCTGCTTGGGAGACAGAAAGGTGAAGCTGGGGGGGCCTGTCCTGGGGAAGACAGTAAGGGTGAAGCTGGGGGAATTTTGCCCGGGGTAGTGGGGTTTTAATAGCAGGAAGGAATGCATATAATGCCTCAGGGGGGAAAAAAACAGGACCCGTATTTGGGGGGAAAAAAGTGTAGTCAAAGATAAATAAAACCAATATTGAAAAACTAGAAATCCCACGGGAAATGGGCAAACAAGGGGACTCCACTAGCATTAGTGGGAAATATTTTAACCAAAAAAAACTGGGGGGGAGCTCCTTTGTTGGGGGCTGGGGAGGAGGGGAAATTTAAAAAAGGGGGAAAAACATCCCAAGCAGGGAATACAGAAAACGAAAACCCAAAGGGCAAACGGAAACCAAGCCTTGCCCCAACTATGCATTTGGGTATTTTGCAGACATGGGAAATCGGAAAAAAAACAAAAGGGGGGAAGGCAACTTTGCCCACCCAAAAAAAAGGGCCGTGCCCACATGAAAAAACAGGAAAATGCAAACCCCCTTCCTGAAACTTTTTCCCCCTGAAATGGTACCTCTTCATACGGGAAAAGGGACGGGTCTTTTAATTAAAATTGCCGGGCCCACACCATCAAAGGGGACAAAAAAAAAAAAAAACACCCAAAGGCCAGGGGAAAAAAACCTGGGTACCCACAGCCCCCAAAGGAGGGAAAAGGGTTTTATTAGTGCCGGGAAAGGGAAAAAAAAAAATTGGCAGGAAATGGAGAAATCAAAACCCCAAAAAAATCCATTCATTCCTGGATTGGAACCACGTCAGTGGCCTCCACTCCAAACCCAACAATACAGAAATAATCCCCAAAAAAAAAAACCCCCCCCCCCAGTACCAAAAATACCACCATTCGATGAAAATTCTTCTTTAAAATTTAAAAAGGGGTCTAAACCCAGCAAAAAAAACAAAATCCCTTTCTTTCCATGGATGTTTGAAAGGGGCCCAAAGGGCAATTTTTGGGGGGGCTTTCACTGGACCCACAAAAAGGGTCACTTGGACAACGAAATATGGTTCCAGGTTACAACCTATCCAGATTGACAAAAGTAAAAGGGCAAAAAGGGGGGGGGGGGTTGGGCCCTTTGTACATTGCAGAGTCATTGTTTGCCAGAACTGAAAAATCCCTAAATTTGATGTAGGGGAATTTTTAAAGCAGTAAAAAGGTCGGGGAAACCAAAACCTATCATTGGGGTTTAAGTTACAACCTCCCGGATGAAAACACCCCAGCAATTCCGGGAACAGCTTTTAAAAAATTGACCATGCCCCTGGAAAATTTTTCCAGCTCCTGCCCCCAAAACCACCCTTGCTCTGGGGGATTTTAAAAATTTTAAGGCACCAAAAATGGAAGAATATGCAAATAATTTTTTTTTGCAGTAATAACACCAGGGGGCCCGGGCTTGATAAAAACTCACACTCAACACGATTTTTTAAAAATCCGCAAAAAATTAAATTTTTAAACCAGAAAAATAATGAGGCTACTAGACTGGGGAATACACTAGACCTCATCTTCACTAACAGGATGATCGATAAGAAATTGACCCATAAACAAAAACAATTTCTCAGTCACAACATATTGAGGTTCGGACATGTATGCGCGGGGCCCCAACCGACATTTAAAGAGATTTGTCACAAGGGCCCTAAACCCCCCCCCCCCCCCCCCCAATTCAACTTCCCAAAAACAAAAACATAAAAAGGGGGCCAAGTTAAAAAAAAGCCCAATCGATATAAGCTGGGAAGAAAATACTAAGCAACACAGACCCCAACTTATGCCCAGAGTAGATTAACCCTTTGGGGGCACTCAATGTATCACAAGGCTTATTCCTTAAGAAAAAAGGGGGAGGGGAAAAGTAAAAAGAAAGGGACAGGGCTTCCCCCTTTTTTAGGCGAGGAAAGAAAACCCGAGCGGCCCAAAAAAAGGTCAAAAATCTGAAATTTCCCTTTAGACAGGTCGGGGAAAATAGCAAGCATCGAATTTTAACAAAGGAATCTTATAGGAGGGCAGGAAAAAGCGGGAAAACTAAAAACATAAATGAAATCGAAAAAAAACCCCAAAATATTTCTTTCCTTGCCAAACCAAAATCGGAAAAAACGTCCGTATTTGGGGCCCCCTTTCTTAAACAAGATGGGGCCTACACAGATGACAGCAAGAAAGAGTTTAGCCCACTCAAGTCCCAATATGGGCTCAGTTTTTTTTCTAACCCCTTTAAACCCGATGAGAGTCGAAGTAAAAATTTAATTTTTTTTGAGAGAGCCACAGAATTTGGTTAAAAAACAAGCCTGTCGATGTTATCCCGATGCCCCCAAAGCTTCGAAAAAAGGCGTAAATGGGGGTTCCCCGCACTCGCCCCAGGGGCCGACTCATGGAAATTTCCCGGGTTTATCAAGGGCTGCAAAAAAGCCCCTATCCCCCGCCTTTTTTCCATCCTATGGAGAGGGGGCAAAGGACACGGGGGTTCGTTCCCCCCAGTTACTAAAAAAAGCAGACATTTGGGCCCCCCCCCACAAAGGGGGCAGTAAAGCAAAAAGCAAAGAACTACAGACTGATACACTAACTTCCCCTAAACATTTAAAAACTTGAAAAGGGTCCTTAGAACAATACACCAAACCCCTTTTAGAAGCCCCCAGTTACACAACCCCCGGGCAACATGGGGGTTTGAACCGGTCGCTCCGTCTGTCTCAACTATTTGGAAAAACCACTTTTTCGACAAGGTCCAGATGCCTAGAAAAACAAAAAGAAAGCAGTGTTTGTATATACAACTTTGCAAAAGCCCTTTGAAAAGTGTGAACCAAAGGCGTTATAGCACACCCAAAAAGCGTGCTAAAGGAAAAAAAGGGAAAAAAAGGCAATGGAACTATAATTTCCTCACTAACATAACACGAGTTAGTAGTCAACAGAGAAAAATCCGAGGCCCGCTACGGGGTTTAAAAGCTCGTTCCACCAAAAAACCATTAAAACCCCTCCCATCTTTTTCCCCATTTCCCCATATTTTGACATAGCAAGGGGTGTCGCCACCCGCAAACCCTGTCTTCCTTTGCAGATGACACCCCAAAACTTCATGAGAATGTCCCTTTCCCTTGCGACACGCAAGGCCAGGGGGACCCTCAACCCCCAAAACTTTTAGGGGGGTGCAGAAAAACAATTGAAGTTCAAAGGGTGAGAAATTTCAATTACTCAGAAAATGGGTAAAAAGAGGAAAATTAAATTTTTCATCAGAGTACAAAAACAAATTCCCGGCCACAAAATAAAGCGAAACACCAATGTCAAAGATGGGGGTGATCATGCGGAGGACTCACTTTCAAAGGGCCTTTTCATTGTATCAATCGCATTTTACTAAAAAATGACAGGATGGATAATGAGAACCTTCAAAACTAGGGGGGGCCAAAACCCATATGAAAACCCCTTAGGTCCTTGTTCTATCTAGGGGGGAAAAATTGCCCGCACACTAACAGCACCCTTTTAAAGGGAGGTTTAAAATTTTCTGACCTAGAAAAAAGTACAAGAATCTTCACGGCGCGCATAACGGGGATAAAAAACCTCAATTACTGGGGGGCTTGAGGTTCCCCGAACCTGTATTCCCCCCAAGCAGGCGGGAGAGAAAACATGAAATTTTATACCTTAAAATCCTAGGGGGCTAGTTTCCGAAA